ATTATACGCACTTGATACCGATCGTTCAGTTTATATGACAGCTATATGCGATAGTGATGCCATATCGACGGTTCCAACAAATGAGCAGCATTTTGGCGAGAAATGGTCGTACAATATTTCAGATCGGTTCCTTAAAAATTTAGAGATAGTTCGCGTATATACACACAGACAGACAGCTTGTCCGTAGCTTGTCTTAGCTTGTCATGTTGATCGTTTATGTACACATTTTATAGGGTTTCCGACTCTTCCTTCTGAGTGCTATCAACTTAGTGGAAAACTTAATGCAGTTGAACTTTCATAACTCGAATAATTCGCGAAAAACTTCGAGTTGGAGAGACTTCGGGTTATGGAGAGAAATTTGTATGAAATTTGACCTCTACTGCCAATTCAAGAGTTCGAGTTGTGGAGAAATTCAAGTTAAAGAAGCTCGAGTTATGGAAGTTCAATCGTATATCGTGTTCAGTGTATAAGAAGGCAATATTACACGCTACAAAACCTATTCTACGAGTGTCGAAGTTACAAAAAAAAAAAAAAAAAAAAAAAATTTACTGATTTCCTCATAAACATTATTTATGAAATAGAATAAAAAAAAAAAAGATTCAATAATCGCCTTCACTCCCGACCACCTCTTCCCAATTTGTGAACTGTTGCTGGTTTAGACTTGAAATTTGTGTCTTCGCGTCGCTGCTTCGTTTAACGAATGCTCGCTGTTTATCTTATTCGCATTTGCTACCAGCCAGTCGGAACTTTGTCGTACTTGTTGTTGTCGCTTATCAAATTGCCTGGGAAAATGTGTCATTGTTATTACATTTTCATTGCCATTTTATTTTCATTAGATTTAGGCGCTTTTATGCGACACGAACACACACTCATTTACTTATAAAAATAAAAGTAAGCTCATTTACTTATAAAAATAAAAGTAAGCAAGCTAGCGGCATAGCCGTCATTTTATATGCATTTGTTGCTTATTTGCCTTTCTTTGTGTGCATGTATTCGTATGCGTGTGTCGGCTGCGTAGGTTTTATTATCGGCAATTTTCGCTTTGACTTACGAATTGTTAAAATCCATTTTTTACTCGTTAAAAGTTTATTTTATTATCAGCGTAGCATAACGGGAATGTAGCAAGCGGCTAAATGGGTGCTTGAGTAGAGCTTCTCAGGCTTTTCTGCCCTGACTTTGTGACTGCTGCTGTCACTTAATACTTTCAACAGCCGAAATTTGAAGAGTGTATAAAAGTGCGAGTTTACTCGGCGCACGCGGGCATATGTGTGTGTGTATGGCATTTGCATGGATGTGTGTGTGACATGTACATATGTTGGTGTGTGTGCGTCACTTTATGCGCACCAGCGTGTAATGTTTATGGAATTCGCATGTAATTGGCCGGAAAACTTGCCGCGCTCGACTGTTAACAATGCTGTGATTTCTCATTTCTCTCGCAACTTGCCACATGCAGCACCAAACCCCATCCCCGCATTACACTTTGAACTTTCTTTGTAGCATTTTATATACAGACTGCTGATAATACAATCATATTTCAATGGTAATTACCCAGCAAAGCGAGTAAGTTACTTTTGTTGACGGCGCTTACTGCAGTGTGTGTGCATTTGTATGTTTGTGTATGTGTGGTGAGGGTGTTTATTTGTGGTTTTTTATGACTGTATATGAATGCGTAGCATGCCGCTGACTTTTGTGCCTACTTTTCTTGTATGAAAAACAAAAAATTAATGACTAATCGTGGTGTGCTGCATACCCACTTACACATATATACATTAAGGTGAGCAAAAAAAAATAAATACAAAAAACGTATTTGTGTTAAAATTAACTTTTATAAAGAGAAAAAAATTCCAGAAAGTCAGTTTTTAAAATATTTTAAGCATACAAATTTTTGAAGTACAAAATATTTCCCTGAGGAAGATTATTTAGGAAATTTTACACTCGGCATGAATTGGTGATACAAACAATTATATCCTAAACCGTTGAAAATAGTAATGGTGTTACTTGAAAGTAAAATTTTATTTTTTTTTTTTTTTTTTTTTTTTTGTGTTATCTGAAACATATTAGCTAGTCGAAAAAGTCTTTTCGTATTTTATTAGAATGCTCACCGACGTTTTTTTAAAATTAAGCTAAAGGCATTACCTTGAAGGTTTACTTTATGCCCTGAATAAAGTATATTAAGTCTGTCACGAAGTTTCCAACACTCAGAAGGAAATGTTATAGAATATATATGCTATGTAAATATTCAGAATGGCGATCTGAGTCGATTTGGCCAAGTCTATCTGTCTGACGATCTATCCTATCCGTCCTATCAGTCAAAATCATGTCCTCTGATGGAAAACTGTTTTATATGTCGAAATATCTTCAAGAAATTTGGCGTGGATTATTGTCTAAAGGAACTATGCAATCTCCAAGAGATTGTTAAGTTCGCAACAGTATAGCATATAGCTGCCACACAACTGACCGATCAAAATTAAGTCTTAGAATGGAATCATGTATATTTATAAAAGTTATTATATAACCGAACTTAATGCTTCTTCTAGTTTGACTGTTAATTTTAACTCATAAATTTGATACATAAGTTTTTTGTCTTACCCTAACCATAAAAATACATATCTTCGCCAGCAATGCAAATGCATAAAATGTTTATATTAAAATTTCTGTACACAAAGCCAAGCACACATTTTTTATATTTTGTATATATGTATCAGTGGAAGTCTCAGTTATTTTTACACCCAATTGCCCACAAAAGCATGCAACTTTACGACTTGAAAATACATTAAAAGTCCATTAAGCGAAACTTTTCGTATTATTTCAACCTAACTGCATACAATTTGGTTTAACTGTACATTTTGGTTAAGAAAAATGCAAACAAATAGAAGAACAAAAGCATAACAGTGCTCAACGGGTTTTGCATCTCAGATAAAATATAAATACTCTGCAAAGAGCTCATTCGGTTCAGTTCCATACTATAAAATTATAAAAAATTTGGTTTGATGAAAGAGAGAGATTTAGAGAATTTTAGAATACTGGAAATTTTCGGCTCACAAGAAACAAAAACTATAAATTATTTTTAAATGGAAACAATAGATAAAAATCGATACCAAATAAGGTTGAATCGCTAGCTGCCAATGTGCCATAAAGGCTTTTCACGCTGTGAATTAAAATATTCAGTATTTGGAAACCACAAATCCCTAACTGGGCGCCCAAAGCAGCAAGTTCAACTCACCACACTATCTAAGATATTTGAAAATGTGTTGGGTAATGCAGGAAAAATAGTAATTTTTATGAAAAGAATAAAGGATAGAGAGGAATAGATATCAAAAATAAATTCTAAAAATAAAAAAACTCAAATGTAAAGCCACATTTTTTGTTTTTAATTTAAAACGCGAAGAACGCCAACTTCGGATGCACCGAAGCTTTAGTACCCTTCATAAGTACAAAAGACTCCTAATAAGAGCTTAATATAACAGTTATAGTGATTCGATCTGAACAATATGAAAATATATAACTAATGTATATAATATGAAGATCTAAATTCTCCGCTATTTTGTAGTAAAATGTTGCCAAGCGTGAAAAGAAATACAAATCGATAGCCGAGATTCCAGGCTTAGTAAAAATGGGGCGTTAAATGAAAGAAAAAAGTGTTGTCAGTGTTGAACAATTTTTCGAATTTCAGCGGCAAACGGATAGTGTGTTTTTGAACAATATCATCCCAAGAGATGAAGCGCAATTCCACTTTGATGGGTTTGTTAATCGCCGAAATTGCCAATTTGCTGGAGGCATAATTGCCCAAGCAAAATCGGCGGGAGGGCTACTGGCTGAGGAATTTACAGACAGAACCTTCGGGCATAACACGGTGGATAGTGGAGGTTTGCCTCCGACTACATGATCCCACTTTTCAACTGGGAAAGTAGGTTTAAAATAAATATAGAAAAATATGGCTGGTGTGAAGATATGTTAGCTCTAACCATCTGTAAGGATGGCTCGAAAATGGACGATATATTTGGTGCGGGAATATAATGTCCAGAGCTCGGCATAATATTTCAAGCTGAGGTCTTTGTTATTGCGAAGCCGAGCTGGCTTCTAAGGCACATGCAGACAATTCTAAAATCAACATCTACCAGGATGCAAAACTGAAAAAGTCAAGTGCAAAACGATAAATCAGAAGTACAAAAAATATCCTTTGGCACTCGACAGAAAATACTTTAAGAATATGATCAGAATACTAACTGATCACTGACTGACAAGACAGTCAAGACAAACGGCGCAAAATGAGGCTGACAGATAGAGAAGACTGCAGGATATATATAGAGTATGACACTAGAGAAACAATGGTACGATGTAAGCATATGTGTCCCCACGGTATGATACACTAGAGGAGGTATCGATAGCGAGGCTACAGAGCCTGTTAAAATTGGTGTCAAGTGTAAGCATCCTAAAGGATGACCTAAAGAATGACTACTTCTCTTAGGCCCAGTAACTGAACTTCATCCGTTGTCGCAAAGGATCAAAACTGTTCTAACATAACCTAACCTCTTTCAAAATATATATTCAATAGCATTGGAGAGTAGTGAATCAAACAAATGGCGGAATCAATTTTGAGAGTATTTTATATCATAAGCCGTTCACAATGTTTGGTCTAAATTGTCTAAACCAAAATTTGGTAATATTGCGGATTTCGGATACACCACTTTAATGAGGTACTAACATACTCCCTTATATCAATTAAACTTGCTTCTACATGAAATTTTTATATGGGATCATGAAAAGAAAGCAAGTAAAGAATTGAAGACAGCCATTAAATACGATTTAATCTAAAATATGTAATAACATTTGAAATGTGTTGTCCGGCGGTAACTATTCTAAAATGCACTTTAAAAACCAATTTTATCATAATCTTATATGAAAGATAAGACATGATTAGTCAAGAAATCAAAAAAATACGAATTTTAAATATTTTCAAAAATTAATAAGAATTAGTTAAACTAAAACAACATATTATATAAGATATTATTACTAATCGAATCTATAATTTTATTGCCTAAAAGTAAGCTTGTATTTACAATAACAATCAAATTTAAGATAATTACAGGGAATGTAAAGTGCCATCACTCAGAGTTAATGCCTTAAATTGATAATAAGCCAAGTGTGAAAGCAAGTAAATTATCTGCTTTAATGTCACCACAACTTCCGGTCGCCTGCTGTGCGCCACTTTATTAAAAATCAATAAAACTCGAAAAGACATGCAAACACAACAGCAACAACCACGGAGCAAAAACGTCAAGCCAAAGAGGAATCGAAAAATAATGAAGGCACTGTTGGCACTGTTGGCAGCAGCAAAAAAGTTGTTAATAGAAAGCATTGCACCGCAAGAACCGTTGAAGGAGGACAGCGGCTGCTGCAGCGATTCCAGTTTCTGTTGCTGCCGCGCCGGTTGTTGCCCGCTCCTTGACAGCTGCGAGCTGAAGGAGTTAGTGTGCCAATTGTCGCCTTCGTCGTACACGTCAACGTTGTGGTTTTGCCAACAGCAGTTAGGCCGCCAGCTGCCTTGACTTTTTATATATCAAGACATGTACCTTTTTGTTGTTGTTGTTGCTGGTGGTGCTACTGCTGCAGCGCGTTGCCACCGTTGAGGCTTTCCGCCTGTGCGCTCTTCAATACGCGCAGCTTCGAATAGATGATGTCCCAGTCGAGGTAGGCGCCCACAATGTACCGTACATTCTGCTCGGTGTCATCGTACCCGGTGCGACCGTGCAGCAGACGAATATTATTGAAAGTCAAAACGTCGCCGGGTTTCGTTTTAAATGCAAAAGCGTCGCGGCGCGCCAAACGCACAAACTTGGCGTAGGCCTGGTACCAGGGTATGACGGCGCGCAGCGGCACGGAGAAATGACTGTCGCGCTGGGGAATGCTGTGATTTATACGCGTGTAATTTCCGTCACTGTCTAAACTGTAAAAAGAAGCAGAGGAAAGTGTTAAATAAAGCGAGGAAAAAGAGTAGATAGCGGATGCTGAGAGAGCGGCTGCGGCGCGCGGTGGCAATTGTCAACGGCGCGTTAGGAAGGCGCGCAAACAGACAAAAAACCAGCACGAAAAAAAAAAATAGAAAATGAGTTGTAAATGAAGCGACAACGCCGGCGACAAGCAAAACGTACAAAACAGGTTGATGCGGCTCGAAACTGAGGCTATAAATAAGATTGAAAATCGATTTTCATTGCATACACCCAGGCGGCACACAACGCGCTGCAATATTATATATAAAATATGTATGGGCGCTGCAATGCAAATGCAACTAAAAAACCCCACAGCCTCAGGCAAGTGTGTGTAAGTGGCAGCGACACTCAATTTTCTTCGTTCGCTTAAGAGTTGCTTTGGGAATTGACGCCTTGCCTGCTAGACAAATAAATTAAATGCCCCCACTGTGGCCGCATTGACTTCGTAGCAGCCACCGTGTGGCACCTTATACCGCATCTTACCGCCGTCGTAACTCTTTTCGAGAGAATTCATTTTAAATGCAGCAACTTGAGAGCATCACTCCTCCCCACTCACCATATCACCGGTGCGCGCCAGATATTGTGAAAACTCCGCCCATCCTCACTGCCGATATCATTCCAATCGACCGGCGTCTCCGTTAGTATACGGTAATCCGTTGGGTGTTCGTCGCGCAAGCGATCGGCTATGTGAAATCCGTCCACCAACAGATTACTGCCGCCTACTGACTGCGACTGCACCACGCAGTGCAATATATTCACGCTCGGCTTGTATTCATAGTAGGGCAGGTCCGTGTGCAGCGGCAGCGGATCGGAGAGGTAGGCGTAATTCTTAGCGCCTGGTTTTGCCTGCACAATGAACTCTTCGCTGTTGTGGAAGAAATTCTAAAATATTTTATTTAAAACTTATTAAAGTGTTCCGCTTACCCGTAGGTGGTGCGTCGTATAAAACCCACACGGTCGGCTAATTGTCGCACAACCGTCTTGTCCAGTGGTGCGTCTTCGATGATGACCACACCGCGTACCGCTAGTGCCTCAAGCCATTGTTGGAGAGCTGTGAAGGAAAGCTTTTTTGTATGAGAAAATTTATTGCTGTCTGTTGATAACAATATTCCTCTGTTATAACCGATACATATCGGATTTATAACCAAAACATGTCGGATTTATAACTGAAACATGTTGGATTTATAACCGGTTAGTGAAACTTGTTATTCCTTCCTTTTTAAAATTTGCCTTTCTAAAATGCAAACACATCACGTTACCGTACCCCTGAACTACCTCAAGTATTTCATGTAATTATCATTAACAAAATTATCTCTGAAAACATTCATAGGACTACAGAAACAAGACGGACATATTGGAGGAAAAAAATAATGACAGCTATGGAACTGGAAACCTGTGCTCAACTAGTGGTTCAGGTTTAGACACGCGGTGAGGCTAAAGATTTTGGAGGGCGCAACTTATAAATGTGCATGGTGAAAGATGAGGTGGAAACATCTAGACACTTTTTCCTTCACTGTCCAGCTTTTGGCAAGTTAAGGTTGAAACTTTTCAGTTGTCACACTTTCTACGAGCCTGGAGAATTAGCTGGAATTGATATTAGTCGCCTCAAAAAATTTGTAACATGCTCTAGGCGTTTTGTCGATATGCGACAGGCTTTTTGATCCATATGTGAGTGTTTCAGCATCACAAGGGATTGGTGTCTCTAGCTGTTGAAGTTTGTTTATTCGTGTCCTCAAGAGTTAGCAGACTATTTAGCTAACTTAACCAAACCTGACACTACTATATCGAACATAATTAAGCCTGCGATTCATCCATAACTTGAAAGAAATTCTTCTTAAACCTTAATTTGAGGCACTTTCCAAATGTCAGACGCTAATTATAACGGACTAAAAGCTTCGTGCCTGATTTGTGTTGGATGAGATCCAACGAAGAAAACTTAGTTTGCTTGAGCTCTCTTAGGAAATCAAAAATGCACTCGGTAGTCGACTTATTTCATAATCGTTTTGAAGTCACTTAAGGAAGATCAAGATCGACGCAGCTTTATGAGACACTTTTTACTTCAGAAGTTAACGCAGTTTGCTAATTAGTCTCTGCCAAATGATGAACTGTTGTCTGCGCTCATCTCCTTTTAAATTATCAATTCAACTATTTGAAGTAACTTATATCTGTATAACTCTTCATTTTTGCCATATTTCTCCTATTTCTGCATTTAAACTAAAAAAAATAAAATCGCCAACCCAACCCCACCAACTTCCCCCCACTCACCATCATCTGTTTGCATTACATCTTGAAATTTGAAAGTTTCCGTAATTTGCTTGAACTGTTGACCCGCCCAATGTTTTGGTTTTGGCCGATAAAATCCATTCAAATACTGTTGTCTGCGCTCATCGCTAAATTCACGCTCGCGCAGCCACTTTAGATCGTAAGTGGAAGTATGCTGATCACTCCACTTAATCACAACTTGCTCAGCAACCGAATCAACCTAATTAAATGAAGAGAAATCTATGCTATTCGACGGGGTAAATCAATATACTAATTGAACTCACCTGAACATCGAGCGCCACCACTTCAGTATCGAAGCGATCCCAATCGATGCGACGCGACTTTGAACTTTGATGGAAGCACTGCTCACAGTAGCAGTTGTCACGTAGCCACACACTCGGAAATTTCATAGTTTCATTATCACACGATTTATGTCGTTGCACTAAAACATATTTACCCTCCACCGCGGAGGCGCACAAATGACGGCGCACTATTTTTTGTAAATGAGAAACGGAATTGCGCGCGACACCCGTCAACGCACAGAAAGCGGGTGCGATCATTTTCTTGTAAAACGAAGCGCACCGTTTGACGATCACAACGAGACTAAAATAGAAGCGGAGAGAGCACAATAGTGTGCCTCCAGCTGGCGGGCGACAAGTGATAATGTGGAGCGCAAGCGATTGGACTTTGTTAGTTGACGTCAGTATAGCTGAGAGGCTATTGGCACTCAGCGCGCTATCGCTTGGGCCACAACGCGGATATTAGACGCTATTAAATATTAACCGTGCATGTAAAGTATTTACAGATTGCGAAGAGTTAATCTCTAACTGCGTGTGGCGTGAGAATAGTACGCTCTGTTTAATCTTTGTATAAATAAATAAATACATGATTAACGATCTTGTTATCTATAAAATATTGAGATCTTCGCTAATCGGGGTTTAATGTTTCTAATTAATCTAAAATAATTTTTGAGATTAATTTAATAAAATAAAAGCAAAGGGCCCACAAATATAGCACGTAGCTGCCGCTTTAAGCTTGCAGTAGTGTTAGTTGCCAGTCAAAACAAATCTTATACAAGAGATTAGTTCATTAAGTGGAAGACAATTTTTCAATTAATACACCTGCACTTTTATATGAGATCGTTATCAGTTTTTAAATATGTACATATGTGGTATTTTATGCTAAATCCCAAAATGTTGCAGGAGGAAGGAGTACAAGTACCGGTGTAATGAAAAAAGATAACGACTGAAAACATTAGGACTACTACCAAAAAATTTAACTGCTTCCTGATCATAAATTTTTGCGATGATATCTAAAAAAATGTTTGGTTAGTCGAAAAAGTCTTTCCGTATTTTGTCAATAGATTTCGTTGCAGTCGTATATCTCCAATGCTACCAATCACATTGTGTCATAGCATATAGTGTTGGAAATGTGAGTTCTGGAAGTTTTGATGTGGAACTCGCTCTGGTCGACCTATCGTTGAAAAAGTCGATGAAATTATGAAAAAGACTGACAGCACCGTCACATAAGCAGCCATGACCTCGCTAAGAAACTTACCATTCATCTTCATGTGATTATCGACCATTTAAAAAAAGGCTGACTACAAAAAGAAGCTCGATCTTTGGGTACCACATGAATTGTCTGTGAAAAATTTAATGGACCGAATTAACAACTGCGATTCTTTTCTGAAACGAAATGACAGCGAACCATTTCTGGAGCGAATGCTAAAAATAGACGAAAAGTAGATCAAATACGACAATAATGTGCGAAAAAGATCATAGTCCAAATGGCCGAAAAACCAGGATTGACGCCACGAAAGGTTATGCTGAGTATTTGGTGGGATTGGAAATGAATCATCCACTTTAAGCTGCTCCAGCCTGGTCAAACATTTGATTCTACATTTTGCTGACAACAACTGATTAGATAGAAGCAAGCAATCGAAAAAAATGGTCAGAACTCATCAACACAAAGGGCTCCGTCTTCCATAAGGACAATGCCAGACCACACCCATCTTTGATGACTCGGCAAAAACTGGGATAGCTTGGCTGGGAAGTTTTGATACATCCACCTTATAGCTCTGTTTTATGTTTAAATTTATATAAAAATTATATTTTATAGTTGTTCATCTTGTGGTAGCTTTCAAAGCACTCTCCAATATGAAGCCTTGGTTTTCGAGAACATGTGTCACAAAAATTGTTAGTTCCGCCTGAAATTTTTCTGCTTGAACATACGGAATAATCTTTACTTTTTGCATTTTCACACTGCCGCAATATATGGAGTTGCCTTTCCTCTGCGATTCTGAGGAAAATATTTCATTATGAAAACCAACTACAAGTTTTTCCACAAATTTTCGGACAAACATAAAATGTGACATCAGTAAACTTCTTGTTGCCATTTTATTAGGGTATTATTTTGAAATATTTTAAGAAATGAAATCGCCAAATCTAAGTTAAACTCAACTCATGAGATATCATTACATTCGATTTAAACGAACCGCCAACGGTAAAAAAAAGCTTTGCTGGCTGAGAGCAGACATACGGTCCAGGGTTAATATTGCATGACGCTTGACACTATTGGTAATAATAACTGTCAATTCAGATAACTCCATACTGATATTCACCAAAGCCGAATTGCAGCTTGACAGCTTTCACTCAACTGATTGTTCGTTACCAAAATTTGAATATTTCTACACCAACATAGTTAGTAAAGTTCAAATTTATACGCTTTTTAAAGAAGTTTGAACACATTAAAGTAGAAAGCTAGCTTTCTTTTTAAGAAACTTTTTATTGAATCCAAGAGGAAAATCCTAAATTAAGTTTAAAAGACATATCTTTTTACTCAACACCCTTTTTGGCGCTATCCTGAAAATGATCTATATAGCAATAACTGTCAGCGTGTTATTTCCTTAAGTACTTGAATAATTTTCTACACATTCGCTGTCGCTGCGTACCAATGTAATAAATATGAGCGAGCACGCAAGCTTAGCTCTGCAACTGACAACAAAATCAACTGCTGCAACAGCAAAGCGCGAGACACATTTCCGCGAGTGGAGGAATTTTTTTTATAATTTCATATTTTCCTTTAATTTTTTTTTTATTGCGCGAAAAATGCGCACATTTTATTTGTTTCAAACGGCATGTGAGCGAGCGCCTTCATGTATGCAATGGCATGTGCACAGAAATGCATGCACTCACACACACATATGAGCGCTCACAAGCGTTGATATGAATTTCATGTGTGTGCGCAGTCACTTAGAAATCAGTCAGTCAAATACACAGTTAGCTACCTACGCTAACCGCCTGAAAGTATGCAATTGTTCTGCAAATGTGCGGCGTTCGCTCGCATGAAATAATTTGCGGTTATTACTACGTTGAAGACATTGACGCTGCAACATACTAGAGTTGTGGCAGGTTGGAGCTTAGCTTAGTTTCCAGTAAAAATTTTCCACACACGCTTGACTGACAAACGTCACTTCAAGCATGCGTGTGCGTGTTTGTGTGTGTTCTCACATATGTACTTGAGTGTGGTGCTATTTTGTCATTGCATTGCCGTACGTGCAACCAGCAGACGACATGCAACGTGTGGCTTCACGTGTCTTTCAAATATTTATGTGTTTCTTTTCAATGTGTTGGCTTGTCTTTGGCTGCGTTGTCGTGCATGTTTTCACTTCGTCAGTCGGCTTGTCACGCTATCTGTCCTTACTTGCCTTTCAGGCGCGCTGGTATGCACATTTGTCTGTATAGGCATTTCATATTCATGTATGAGGGTGCGTTCATATGTGTGTGTGTGTGTCTGTGCGGCTTTGTGACAGGATATCTATTTGCCTTGCATATTTTCGCTCCTTCTGGGTGTCATGGCGTCCTAATGTAATTGGAAATTGTATGTGAAATAAACAAAGACGTGCATGTCGACAATTCCCTTTTCAAAGTTGCCAACGCTGCCAATTCATACACAAGCTGACAGTTTAATGCACACGGTGCAAACGTTCTATGGCAAATTCTTGGGTGCACATTTATATATAAACAGAAATACATATATATAAATATATTTTTATATTAACGTGTAGATTCATATAGAAATGCTTCAATGCAGCAGCTGTTCTAGCGTGCGCTTGTATGGACACTCTTGTTCAAAAGCATAGTTCCACGTATGACTTCAAAATTATAACCAAAGACATAAAGATAGAAGAAATATAACCATTTTTCAGTATCCAAAGGTTTCTGTTCACATATCTTAGACATAGATTAGATACTATAGGATGTGGTGGACCACACCCTTAATTTTATTCTTAAATATTGAGCTAGAATTCTCGTACCCTAGTGACGTGTAGTAAAAATGCAGCAGCACAAATGAGAGATTATTCGAGCTTGCTCTTTGAGGCCCTAAGAAAATGCGCCTGATTAATATACCTTTCGGAAACGGCTAGAAGTTTCGTTATCATTCCATATATTCCAATAATAACAATAAAGATAAATAACCGAAAACCTCAAAATATTTTCGTACTCTTGAAACAACAGTTTCTTTAAAGATTTTCGTTTTTTAGTATATAGTTTATAGATCCTAGATTTCTAAAAGGTTAGAAAATTATATAGGTGTTCCAATGCTTTAGTGTTAATTGACCTTTCAAGACCTAGCGACGCGGTTCTGTGGTGGGGCCTTCAAGAACACAACTAGCTTTTATTGAGTTATATGAATTCGCTTTTCTTCGTAAGTAAGTCCGACCTGATTGACGCCTTGGAAGATAGTATTCGCCAAGTTTTTGCTGACAAACATACGTCCACAATTGCTGCAAAAAGTGGTCGAAGGTCGGACGGCACGGCTAAAATTGATTTAAGGCAGCCGCGGCGGTGACTTGCCCTAAATCATTTTTAAAACATAATGGCAAGCCTTTATCCTCATTATAAAGCTGAATTCTTGGCTATGCCGTAAAATATATCCGATTTATTTCCTCTTGAAAATCACAAAGTAAATATACAAACAAGATGCGCCTGAAGACGCTAATTGCATGGGGTAGTAATAATACTCAGATCTGTAAGTGTTGCCACCAAATAAGAGAAAAATTAAGTTTCATATATTTAAAGGTTAGGAAAAATAAATACGTTTGGTTCTTTTGCCCAGAAATTCGCAAAAAGTATTCCTGTCGTTTGTCGAAGAACTAGATAATTCATCTGTCGTCAACAAATTGCATTCATCACGGAAGTGTGCAGGTTATGTCAAAGGGCCCCAGATATATTAACATACAATAATGCTGCCCGGAAAAAATCTCACAATGAAATATGAAACTTGAGAAATTAGTGGCTTTGAACCCATCTATTGCCTGCTATACGAGTCCGTCAAAGACACTTAAATATACATCTTCTTCACTGCTCCCGGGAGAGCCAATGGTCGAACATGTTGTTAGTGTAATTCATTCCATACACATATTTGGACTTTAGTTGTTTTACACCTTGTCAAAAGAAACTCTTCAGAAATAGTCCAAGGTGTTGACCAATATTTTTTTTGGTTATTTGACTTTCAATTAACCTCTAGTAAAAGTTTTTCAGATTATAACAGTATCTGAGCCACTAAGCTCTGGAGAGACTTCC